TATATATGTGTGTGTGTGTGTGTGTGTGTGTGTGCGTGTGTGTGTGTGTGTGTGTGAAGGAGTATGTACATGTCACTCATATATTTTCTTGTTGTCGTATGTTTTGTTAACTGAATGTGAACTTCCCGCAGATGTAGTGGCATTGTGTGAGATCTGTTTTTTGAGTGGTGTGTAATGTCCTTCGCTCGGTTGAACACTATGACCTTCTGCATGTAGGGACGAGTGGTGTGTGTGCCATTCACTTTCTGGGTTTCACGTGATGTCGGACGTGTATGTACGCCCATGGTGTGCCTTTGGCTTGTGTACTCATATGATATCAAACGTGTGTATGATCTAGATATGTACGTTCCTTGTGCATAGTCATATGGACCCCAGACGTGCGCTTGTGTGGAGTGTCTATTGATTTCCACCTATTAAGTCGCATGATTTCAAATGTGATTGTGGGTGGGTTCCATTTCTTCGGCTAAATGAGGTATGTATAGGTTTTATGTATGATTTACAATTACAGTACACATAGATGTACATGTATATGAATCCATGTTGTAAGTGTGTGTGAATCCATGTTGTAAGTGTGTATAAATCCATGTTGTAAATGTGTAAGTATCCATGTTGTAAGTGTGTATGTATCCATCCATGTTGTAAGTGTGTATAAATCCATGTTGTGTGTATGAACCCATGTTGTAAGCGTGTATGAATCCATGTTGTAAGTCTGTATGAATCCATGTTGTAAGTATGTATGAGTCCATGTTGTAGGTGTGTATGAATCCATGTTGTAAGTGCGTAAGAGTTTGTATGTACTTGCTATTTTGTTGGTCATGCAATATAAGTCGAGCATGTCAGTAGTAGTGGTGGTGGTAGTGGTAGTAGTGGTAGTAATAGTAGTAGTAGTGACAGTAATAGTGGTAGTAGTAGTCGTAGTCGTAGTGGTAGTAATAGTAGTAGTAGTGGTAGTGGTAGTGGTAGTGGTTGTAATAGTAGTAGTGGTAGTAGTAGTAGTAGCAATAGCGGTGTCTGTTTTCGTGTACACTTTACCAATCAAATTTCGTTTGTGGTTGTATTCCCACAGATCTATCTGCAATTATGTCATCTTTTCTCCTGAATTTTTGAACTCTGTGTACTACATCTATTTTGCCACAGATCGAGCCGTGCATCAAAACCTTCAACCATCTATTAGAAGAATACGTGCCGGCAGTGGCAACTCACATGAACGAGCTAGGCTTACACTGCGATATGTTCCTCATAGATTGGTATGTATTTACTATATACACTTGATTGCGTACAATACATTAATACACATCCGAATAGACTGGTACGTAAATATTATATATACTTGATTGCGTACAGTACATCAATACGCATCCGAATATGTTGTTGTGTATCATAGGGACTCGTCATGTGATATCAGTACATGTATGTGTGAATGGTTTCGAGTCATACATATTATTTTACCTGGATATATGTGTGTCTATATATAAATGTGTGTGCATGTGTATTTGTGTGCGTGTGTGTGTGGATGTGTGTGTATGTATGTGTTTGTCTGTGTGTGTGTGTGTCTGTGTATATATGTATGTATATGTACGTGTGTTTGCTTTTATGTGTGCGTGTTTTTTTCATTGGTATACGTACGCATTGAGGCTACCATTTAAGTTCGAATATCTAGATATAATGTTCATCCTACTCAGTTGGTCTCCGTAGATCCAGCTTTTATATCTCGAATATTCGAAGAAACAATTTGGTCAATCGATGAGACCCTCAATTTCCTTCAGTTGCGATTGGTTGCCTGACAGTCTGTCTGCGTTCTCGCAGAAACCCGTATATACTTACCCAATTCCGTGCACCTGTTTGTAACGGTGTTTGGGAAGTCCTTCCGCATAGGATCACCCACGAGGAGTTGGAGAAGTAGAAATGGGACATATTCCACACCCCCACTCGTTTGAGCATTGTTTTCGATACTTAAATGTTTGTGCTGTTCCCCTGTGCAGGTTCCTAACCATATTCAGCAAATCATTACCAATAGACGTGGCAACGAGGATATGGGATATCTTCGTTGTGGTCGGTGATGTGGTGATGTGGCGAACATCGGTGGCTATCTTTAAGTTGTATCAAAAGAAATTCATAACGCTGGATTTTGAAGGTGGGTTTGCTGGAGGAGTGAGCATCGCGTGAAATTATACGTGCAAGCGTTGAAGTATCGAATTATGAAGTGTAAATACACACGTACAAGTTCAATTTTTATTAATTGCATTTACATGTGTGTGTATATATATATATATATATATGCGTGTCTGTGTTGGTATGTTTGTGTTTTCTTGCGTTTGTGTGTGTGTGTATATATATGTAATATATATATATATATGTGTGTGTGTATTTATATGTA